TAGAGAGAGAGAGAGAGAGAGAGAGAGAGAGAGAGAGAGAGAGAGAGAGAGAGAGAGAGAGAGGTGATTTTGGGAAAGACAAAGAGAGAAAACGAGGGGGCGGTGGAGGGGGGGGGGACACAAATTCAGGAACCCTTGAGCCAGCGTGATGGAAAGAAAGACAAAGTGAGGGATCTTTGAGACAAACATCCTCATGCAGAAAGAAGGAGGGATAGAAGGAGGGAGACCGACAGATAGACAAAGAGAGAACGAAAGAAAGAAAGAATAAGAAGGGAGATACACAAAGAAATAGAGAAAGACAGAACTAACGAATGAAAGGCAGAAAGCTGGAAAGATAGCTTGAAAGAAAGAAAGAAAGAAAAAAAGAAAGAAAGAAAGAAAAAAGATTGAAAGAAAAAAAGAAGTCCGCATGAAAAAGAAATCGAGAGACAGCGCCATGTGCAATAGCAAATAAAAAGAGACTCTGGTCTTCCTGAACATTTAATTTTGTTTAAGACAAGAATGACGAAGAGGGTCCAGCAAAATAGAAGACAGTGTCTTTGTTGGGGCACAGAGGGCATTACGTTTGTCAAAGTTTAGCGGGTTTCTCTCGTTGTGTTGTGCTGAATTGTAGTACTCCGAACTGAACTAAGGCCTAGAAGTCTTCTGTTGTTGTCTGAGTAAAAGCCTACTGAGCAATGAGCATCTTCTGCTTGCAGGCGTGGACCTTTTCATTATTTTTCTGACTCAATCAGACATCGGTCTAAGCATTGGCGTAGAATAAGTAAACATACTGTGAATTAGAGCCGGTCTTACGGATGCAGCATTGACTAAGATTAAGTAAACACGCTGTGAATTAGAGCCGGCTTTACAGAATGCATTGTACGACGTTTAAAACTTGTCTGAGATCTGGTTTCAACACACTCCTAGATGTAAACTCTCAGACAAACAGAAACACACAACTCCCAAAAAGACGAACCGGGTTGGGTAAGGTATATAAATCGAAGGAAGGCCGACAGTTCTTCATCTTCATCTTCTAATCGTTCTAAGACATACTAACCTACTAGCAGTTTTTGGCACATCTGCTTGGATACAGTTTCAGATTCACAGCAAACCAGGTGAGACATTTAGAGAGACATCTTGTCAAGCGTGCTTTCAGAAGATGAGCTATGAGCAAAAATAATGTTTATTTCATCGAAAAGCTTCAGCAACCAACATAAGTTAAATCTTTAGACATTTTATCAAGTAGAATTCCAGGGTTTTTTTAAATGTGAGACCGCATCTAACATTTAGACCTTGTAGTCGATAGTTACAGTAGATTGAAACGTTTTCGAGATTTTAAAAATGATGTTAAAGAAAGTAAAATACAATAAAAGCAGCAAAAAGATGGTAGGAATGTAGTAGAGGTGTAGGCGACGTCAGAAAACTCGCTACGTGTATGTCAAGATTCCATGATTAGGTTTAAATCTACCACCTTGTCACGATCCTCGAGGGGTATTCCATATGTAATTTGTTTTTTGGGGGGAAAAGAACAGAATGTCAGACACCACTAAGTCTTGTCCTTTAAAACTTCGCTGTTTTTCTACTCGTACATACGTACACGTTCTGTAAATGTGAAGCGTGCTGACAAAGTCTAATGAGTTACTTCTCGGATTCGAGCCCTATTCAAGTAGATACATCACGCTTATATGTGAAGTTTTTATAATTTTTAAATATGAAATAATAAAAGGAATGTTATACTTAAAGAATATGGCATTAATAGAAAATCTAAAAATTTGACCCTAGTGTCGATTTTTGACCAATATCTCTATTTGTGGATTGCGAGAAGTAACCAGTTTTGTCAGCACGCCTCACAAATGTTTCTGGCCATTTTCTAACTTGTTGAAGGGAACTTTAAAGAGCCACTTTATAGAGCTAGAAACACACGCTTTTGAACGTATAAGGAAACTTTGTGAAACTGGTTGGTGGTCCTAGTGGGAACACTTCTATGATTTCCACAACTGGAATTTATCTCTGCAAAATGAATGGATAGATTTCCAATAGAAAATCAAAGTTAACAACTGACTGACTTAGCAATAATATTAGATCTATTTCTTTATTATACCCAGGTTTCTATAGTTGAAATAGATATCAAAACCAAGACACGTATCAATTATGTTTGTCTGTTGCCTTGTTACTTCTAGAACTGCGTTAATAATATTTAAAAGACACGCTTTATATTCACGTTTTGTTGATTCTTTCTTGCTTTACGAAACAAAAGTTTTAACACAGTTTGCATTTTTCTATCTCTCCTTCCCCAGAATGGCCTCCATCAGCAAATCTCTCCTCCTTCTCTCCATCCTCCTCGTCCTGAGTGCTGTGTTCCTCCATACTTCACACGCAGGACGTCACCATCACAGCCGACACCACCACCACCACCGTCACCACTCACGACACCACCACCGACACAGCCACCGACACAGCCACAAGCATCACCATCATCACCACCACCACAGCAGCAAGAAAAGCAGCAGCAGCAGCAGCAGTCTGGGTAGTGAGATCAGCCTTCTCGCGCTTCTCCCCTTCTTGGGAGGAGGGAAATAACGGGAAGGAAAACAAAACAGATGACGTCATAATATGTAAATGACGTCACTGCCTCTTATTTACATATTTTATGTGTAGACAAAAGAGACTCTTTTCTCATTAATTACTCAAACGAATATTGGTTTCCAAAAGCATACAAACATTATTAAACTTGACAACCACACAAACTACAAAAGGAAATAAAATAGATTCCTTCCCATTCCAATCGTTCCTGGATTGCCAATGTTGCTCAGTTCCTTGCTGTGATCTTTGTGTCTCGTGTTTTGTACTTTTAACACGAGTGTAAAACCACATTGATGTTCGTTATGTATTTGAGTAACGATCAGTGTGACTGACTTATTGTTCAAAGATTGCATCTATCCATAATAAACTTGGTTGAAGTCCACATCTCAGTGTTTTTTCGTCTTTTTTAATTAATTTTTTTTTCTTTTTTAGTTCTTGTTCTTATCACACACGTCGTTGTCTTATGTTACAGATGATGGTAAATGTTGTTGTTTTGATATCAGTCTTGTCGCTTTTGAAGTTGACTTGACTCTGCCTTGAGAAAATGGAAACACCAATCATTTCCAAATCTCAAAACACGATTTTTTAGAATTTGGAAGTACACCGCAAATTCAAACTCTTATCTTTTTTTTAATTTAAAAGGGATGCAAAAAAATAATAAAAGTGATACTGCTCTGTCATGATGTTATTGCTCGTGTTGAGGCTCACGTTACATGAACTACACTATAAGAATCGGCACTCCAGTTAGCTTTTCTCACCATCACGACATGTTTTTATCCACCTAAAAGCCAACAGCTCATTACGCTTAAAAAGCCTCTACAAAACATTTAAAAAGTCACCACATAACATTAAAAAAACGTATAACATTTTCAAAAAACCTCCACATAATATCTAAATAGCATCTACATTACACGAGCAAAGTATTTCACACAAAGTCAAACTTCAAATGTCACTTCCGTGTGTGTCTGAGAATTTTATAAACCTAAGACTTAATGGCCTGTTGGCCAGCACATAAACATACGACATACATTTTAGCTTCGTTCATCAGCATCCTAACTGATCTAATTAATTGTATCGATGTGAGGAAAAATTCCACTCGTTATGAAAAACAAGCTTTTCACACATAACAGTTTTTCCCGTTAACCTTAATAACATGTTCACATAATTTAAGACAGCAAGACCTGGCATTGCGAAAACGATTTTAACCATTTTTTCCACATTTACAAAATACTGATCGGAAGATATTTCTGAAGCTGGGATTGAAATGGTAGTAAACCAAAGTGTTGGCTGAAGAGTTGATGGCCTGGGACAAGAACAGAAATAAGTTCACGACAACTACCTCATTGTGATAACGTTTGAAAAAACCCAGCTCAGGATTAGACATGTAGGTGTAGATGACCACCATTCTGATGGCGTTACACACCAGAAAAATGACCGCGAGGGCCGACACTGTCTTGATCACACGCCGGTTTTGGAGGGTCAGAGAGCTGTCTTTTGTCTGGGTATCTGTCATTTGATGGGCTTCTATCTGTTTTATATCTTGGCTATTTGCCTGATGGTCTTTCATCGAATGGTCTCCTCTCTTATATGTCACTTGTGCCGTGTTGCAATTCCCAGTAGCTTTGTCGGCTGTTTCCTTTCTCTTCCTAAACTTTGAGGATCTCTTGAGTCCAATGACCATAACCTGGGTGCTGATTAGAACGACGAACTGATATGAGGCGGTCATTACAACGTGTATGAAAGTGTTTAAATAGTGGTCAATCTCGAATCTGTTATCAGACAACCATACAAAGATCCTGGATGAGTTAGTGACGGGGTCGTGACGCCAGTGTAGACCGCTCGTCACAAAATGGGGGACGTATGCTGCTATAGTGAAAGCGTAGAGGAAAATCACGACGAAAAGAGATCTCCGAAACGTGAAGAGGTCTTTAAACTTGAGAGGCATCGCCACACAGAGGCAGCGTTCTAGGGTGACAAACGCGATGATCCCTTGGGAAATGTCGTAACATAAGATACAGCCGTAAGCCATGATGAACATAAAAGCAAAAGGATCAATGATGGAATCTATATCCAAATGTTTGATGATATTGAATATTTGCATGGACCCTCCATTAAGGACACTGCCGAAATCAGAGATGGTGAGGGCGAGGAGACAGACAGACACACAGTCTTTTACGCCCTGTTTGAGAAATGTGACAAAGTTGATCAAGTTTGCTGCGATTCCCAGAAGTGCCAAGGGTCCTGTGATCAACACGGACATGTAGAGCTCAATCTGCTCACGCACCTCGTCACTTATAGTGCTCATGTCTCCGACTTTCAAGTAACCACGGACAGGCTAAAAAAAAATAGCTTTAAAAACGTATAGAACGTGTCCCTATGAAGAGTGATTGTTAACTCAGCTAACAACGAATACATGTATACAGATAAGATCAATGATGCTTAGTTATCATCTCTGCACTGTTAAGAGGAAGACAAGATTGATGTTCTTTAAACTCTCCTCACCAATTCGTTATAACAGAGATTTCACAATGTTGCCTTCGTAAATGAATGCATGTGCATTTCGTACAAATAAAATTCTTAAACTAAGATAGAAATAGCAGCTTTGAAAGAAACCCATCAAATACTTAGATTTCTTCTCTATGTGTTATTTTTTGGAACAAAGGACTAGGAAAGCATTATTTCACCCAAAGACAATCCAACACGTTGTTAAAATACACTCATGAAGATGTAAGTTTTGTCTCGCTATCAAAATATATTCATATCGTTTTCAGAGTACAACTTACTCAACCGCTTTTCTATAATGAAAGACAAAGACTTTATTGCACATTCTACCACCCAGAAAGAAAGAGCACAGTCAATTATGCTCCATTAACCTAGAAATCAATTCCAGAGAAATGTAAAGCAAATTGATAATTACCGTCAGTGCACACAACAGACTGTTTCAGACAGAGAGTGAGAAAACACTAACAATTGTCACATATTTTTTCTTGTTCAAATATTCGAAACCCATAGACATTCTAGGAAGATTTATCTAATTAGTCTTTACGGTCGTTTATAGTTCATTTAGTCTGTGTCTACGTTATAATTTTGGTTCTTTCTCTGTCGAGACTGAAAGCAAAGATGAGATGAATGTAAACATATTCAAATGACATAAGTACCGCACCCCTCTAATGATGTCACTGCACACCCCCAAAAAAATATAATGAGTCTAAAATACTCTACGAAATAATCAAAACTTACCAGTTAGTGTCTGATGTGTTAAAATACTTAGATTGTTCCGACAATAGCACGGGTGAGGGAGGGGAGAAAAAACAGAAAGGCGGGAGAGACATACTAACAAAGAGATTAATTAACAAAGAGACAGGGAGAGAGAGAGAGAGAGAGAGAGAGAGAGAGAGAGAGAGAGAGAGAGAGAGGGAGAGAGAGAGACAGAGACAGAGAGAGAGAAGGGTTAGGTTAGGGGTAGGGTGAGTAAGAGATGGGAAGGTCAGTGACTGCTCCTTATCCTCGACATGAGGCTAGACGCGCTCAGGGAAACTTTAACGGCACAACAGTTATAGAGGGCAAGTTGTAACAATCACAAACTTTGCAGTCGCCAGAAACTGGAGTTGCATGTGTGTGCAGTGCTTCTTTATTTCATTGTTAACGCTATGGCGCTGCTAAAGTTGCCTTGTGCACGCCTAGTCTAAGAGTCTCCTAATCCTCAACTTAAAGAGTCATCTGTTGGCCTTGTGGAAGAACGAGTATTGAAACAAGATTGAAATAGTGCCACGAGCGTCATTATACCTCAGCCTGGATGTCGTAAAAGCAACAATGAGCCTGTAAGTGAAAGCGATTTAGAAAGTTATAACTTCGATTAGGAGCACTGAGTAGCAACTTCTTTCACCCCTGCAATAATTTCAAACACCTGCTCGATTCGCTTTAGATTGAAATTTTACATAGAAGCATTATAACGTCAGCATAGTAATACTATGTGTAAGTGTTTCCCTCTCAGTTCTCATTAAATGACGACATGGATACAATCACTCTTTATAGTTCCCGGGAAATCATTTTATTGCAATTTTGTTCTCAGCACAAATTAAATCACCCAGGATGCAAGAAATTTCAACCATGCCTGACAATTCCAAACTGTGGGCTGAGTGGGAAACAACAAGTTCCATCAGACGATGAAAATACTTTTCCTCTACGGAATTGAACTCATTTCTTCGGCGTGCTATAGCCAAGAACTTGACCTTTATACACATGTACAATCGGCACCATTTAATGTGATATCTTAGGGGTACATCCATATATAAATATATATATAAAATAAGTTCACGACAACTACCTCATTGTGATAACGTTTGAAAAAACCCAGCTCAGGATTAGACATGTAGGTGTAGATGACCACCATTCTGATGG